CTGTGAAGTTGTTTCTTCTTGCCCCTGGTGGCGTATCCTTGCCTTGTCTCTTGCTTTTCCCACATGCACAGTTGCAACAGGCACTCTGTTTAGCTTGAAATGGTGGCCTGTATTTACCAATAGCAGGTTGATTAGAAGCAACAGATTCAAAGTTCAAGGGGTCGTTTGTTTATTCAGTAGAACTCTCCTTGTTCTCATCCTCTATTACTTTGCCTGCGCAAGAAGTAGAAGTATTAGTATCGTTCAGCTCAACACCCTCAGTTGCCTAATCAATAGCTGGTTTACCGTATACCATTAATGGTTCTCGGTCAATCTCTTCCCGAGTCAAAGGTTTTGTAGTATAGTTGTGATTGAAGGGAGGAGGGACACTCTCAAAACCTAGTCATACTATCTTTTGGTTTCCACAAGTGACATCCTTCCACTGCATTTGGTTTTCTATTATTTTCGCAATAACTTTGCTTGACCCATCAAATTTTTTTAAATTGAATTCAGCATTTTCAAAACGTGTTTTCAATAAGTCAAGTTCAGTGGTCACAGCTTCAAATTTTCGTTTGATATGGTCATAGATCTCACATTTGTTGCTGTAATCCTCTTGTAATTTCCTAAAGTCCTTTATTTTATTTTCTAGTTGAGTCTTTAAGGGCTTTTGGTTTTTTCTAAGTGTGTATCCCCCATATTTTAAGTCCTCGTTCTCTCTCTTAATTAAATCTATTGATTCTCGCAAAAATTTCATTGTTTTAGCACAAGATGGAGAGCAACCGGATTCATTTACCTGAATTGATGTGGAACTCATTTTATTTTATTTTTAATTTTTTAATTTTTTTTATTTCTTTTTATTTTTTTTAATTGCCCTTTGACATAAAAACAAAACGAGAAAGTCAACCTTAAAATTCAAATTAAAAAAAATCAAACTTAAAAGTCAAACCGAAAGGCTAAATTTGAAAATCTAAAAATTAAATGAAAAAAGTCAAAGTTTAAAACAGGTCAAATTTTAAAAGTCAAAGGTCAAAATTTTAAAGTCAAAAGTAAAAAATAAAAGTCAAAAATTAAAAATTAATATTTTTGGTTGAAAATGGAAGTTGAAAATAAAGGAAATTAATTTTCGGGTAAAATATGTCAAAAATGTGAAATTAGAATTGATATGGAGTCTTTTTGAATTAAAAAGGGAAGAGATATAGCATCTAGCAAGCTAGATGAGATGGTAAGGCGTGAGGTTTGTCAATCAGGGGATCCGGGTTTGATCCCTCTCCACTCTAATATTTTTTTTTAATAAGAGAACGTGCTGAATGTTGAACGTTGGACGCGCTGAATGTTGAACGAAGATAAGCCGCACTCGTCTGAGCCGCACACACCGAGCCGCAAACCGAGACTGCACACCGGGGCCGCACACTCCCTGAGATGCACACGTTCAACAGATTCGCGAAAAAACAATGTTTTTCACCCTTTTTGCTCTAAAACTCGATCAAAAACTCGTTTTTATGACAAATGTAAAGAAGAAATCCCTCCTAATTTTCAGAGATCTATCCAAAAACGCTATTATCTTTTCAAAATAAGACCAAATAAACTCCAGATCTGACAAAATTGACTGATACGATCCAAGCTTTGATACCAATTGTAAGTCCCCAAAATTGCTTGTGTACCAATCAGATCCAATTGATGGTGTGGAATCCCAATCAATTGGATGATGTCAGTTCAAATAGAAGAGAAGAAGAAGAAGAAGAATTAAGATGAATCTAATGATGTATTTAATAATATGAATGATGCTCCATATACATAGATTCTCTCAAACACACACACACACACTATTCTTTTCTCTAGAACATGCTCCTCTCCTTTTCTCTCTCCTCACCCTATATATATGAGCATGGGCCACCAGCTGCACATGAGTGTACAGCCGCACACGCGTGTGCGGCCGTACAGAGGGTATGCGGCCGAACACACATGTGTAGTTGTACACAGGGTGTGCGGCCACACACACATGTGCAGCCGTACACAACCACAAAATTACAGAAAAATATATTTTCCTAGAAAAACTACGTATAAACCATATTTTTGACCCAACATTCTACATTCAATGAACGGATGTGGTTCTCCACCTATTGCATTTAATTCAAAATCTTTTCCCTCTTCCGTATCTTCAAATTGTGGCTTCTACTCATGAGGCTCTCATGGTGGTCACACATATGGCTGAGGTTATGGTAGGATATCACCCTACTGCCAGCTATGCCACAAGAATGGACACTATGATTCCCAATTTCCGGATCTTACAACCATTGCTCAACGTAGACCATGCATTGATGCAAACTTAGCTCATGCCTTTGCTTCCAAATTTCATACCATAGATGCCTTCTCTGATTGGTATGTCGATTCGGGTGCATCTACACATATTACCTGAAATGCTAACAATCTCACCACCTCCACTTCCTATACAAGAAACGAGCATGTAGCCTTTGGAAACGATAATATTCTCCATATCTTACGAATTAGAAATGCAACCATTACTAAAGATATTAATCATGTAGATGTCCTTGTGGTCCCAAAATTAACAATTTTTTTCTATAAGTAAGTTAATAACAGATTCTCCTATTGATTCTTTGTTCTCTAATGACAAATTTGCAATCCAGAAAAGACACACCAAGGAGGTTCTAGCAAAGGGCAGAGTTGATAATGATCTCTATGTTCTTGAGTGTGGACATTGCCTAATTTCACGAAAATAGAAGTTCACCTTTTATCGTGTTAATAGAGGCTTCTTGATCAATAATCAGGAATATAGAAAAAGGGGCGGATTTTCTGTGACTTATGATTTTTTATATAATTAGATCTCATGCCAACAAAGAAAACCCCATTCGTCTAATTTTAACTTGGATTCCGATAAAGCAATTACTTGTATGCTCAAAATAACTGAACTTAATGTTCTAATCTTGATTCAAAGGAAAGAAAGTGTGTAGTTGAAATAAATCACCCAGAACGCTTTTTAAAGGATTACGTGGTACGATTAGATTGAATAAGCCCTTCTTTAATAAATACTCAGTCGCTTGTGAACCCTCGGGTATTGTTTTATTCAATGTTTGTTCAATTACACTTTTACCCGCAAAGGATACGTAGGCATTGGGTTCAGCAATAATGATATCTCCCAACATACCAAAACTAGTTGTCGCCCCACCGATAGTAGGAGATGTAAGAACTAGTACATATAATAACTTTTTATTTGATTGGTAATCATATAAACCAGAAGATATTTTAGCCATTTGCATCAAGCTCAAACTTCCTTCTTGTATGTGAGCCCCTCCGGAAGCACACACTATAATAAGTGGTAGAAACTACTTAGTAGCGTATTCAATAAAACGGGTACTTTTCTCCCCAACTACAGATCCCATACTACCTTCCATAAACTGAAAATCATAACCCCAATTGCTACGGTAATACCGTTTATTTTCCCTCTACCTGTTTGAAAAGCCTCAGTTAATCCTGTATTTATTTGATAAGAATCGATACGATTTTTATAAGGCTCCTCCTGCGAATGAAATTTAACGGGATCCAAAGAGACCGTGTTTTTATTCATAGGCTCCCCAGTACCTGGATTGATCAAAAGTTTGATTCTATCTGAACTACTCATTTTCAAATGATATCCACATTGTTCACAAAGATGCATCTTTGATTTAAAAAATTTCTTATAATTTAATCCATAACAATTTTCTCATTGAACCCAAAAATGTCAGTATTGGTGAGTTACACCCATATGAGTAAAACTTTCTGGTATAGTTTCATCACTCATTGTGATATACTCGTTTTCACTACTATTTCCATTTTGACTACAAATGGAACTAGAAATGAAATTGTTATTGGAATCATTGTTACTGGAGTTATTGTTATTGGACTTATTGTTACTGGAATTGTCATTACCACCTACAATGTAATTATCAATACAGATTTGGGACTGAAGATAACTGTCAACGCAACTATTAATGTGATTATTCCAAGTATACTGAGTATCATCCATGTAACGATCGTGGTCAGGCTTCTTACTCTTAGATCCATTTTTCAGATCACTAGAATTCGGATCAAAAGAACTATCTAGTTCACTACAAAAGGGATGATCATTGGTAATCTCAAAAATATGATTTTTAATATCAAAATATATAGAATAAGTGTCCCCATTACTATCTTTCAGTAAAAAAGTATCATCAGAGAAAAAATTTTCAATGTCCTTGACACCAAAAAAAAAGATCAACTTTACTGTAATTGTCATAACCACCCCAACCCAGAATGTTTTTATCCGTATCATTTCTATTCGAATCTTTACTTTCACTGGCATTTTCAATAGGACATAGACTGCCCATTGATTTACTTATCCTACATATGTGTTCGAACTCCTTCTTAAATAACATCGAATTGAACCACCATCTTTTCATAGAGTTTTCTTGCTCGATATTTGCATGAAAATACATTAGATGAATAGTCATTCAACGAAAAATCATTTAATTTATTTTTAATATCTTATTTCCTACCAGAATAAGCATATCAATACAATCACTAGGATTATTAACTAATATAATAATGAGTATAAGTATTAAAAAGGATTTGTTGTCTCCTACGAACAACTTTTAGTAAAATCTTGTCTGATACTAATAATCTGTTAAGTTTCTATTACAATACAGAACAAAAAGGACAATATACAGGATGGGTGGAAAGAATTGTGATACTTGTCTCGATCCAGGGATAATACAGGATTGAAAATAATATCCCAATCCTAAGGATCAATAAGATTAATTGTGGATCCAACCAACACAAAAATAGAAAGATTTGAGTTGTTTAATCTTCGAGTTTTTAGTTGAAATTTTCTATATTTATATAAGTATGTATTTCTTGAACATATATGCATGTTGGATTCGGCTCAATCCTTTTAGTAAAAGATTGGGCCGACTTTAATTGAAATTCAATTAAGAGAACGAACGTTATTCATCCAAAGTATCGATTGCCTCAAACTCAAATTTAATCTCCTACCATACTTCACAAGCAACAGCTAGTTCAGGACTCCATTCGGTAGCCTCACGGATAATCTCATTACCCTTAGTAGTAATATCGTGTCCCTTATTACGAGCTTGTACACATGCTTCTAGAGCTACTCGATTAGCTACGGCACCAGGTGCATTTCCCAAGGGTGCCCTAAAGTTTCCCCACCGAACTGTAGTACGAAATCATCTCTAAAGATCTCGGTCAGGCATATAGCAAACGTGAATACCGCCTGAAGCTACTGGCAGAACACCTGGTAGAGAGACCCAATCTTGGGTGAAATAAATACCTCGAATTCTATCTTTTTCAATAAAATCATCACGTAGTAAATCAACAAAGCCCAAAGTGATTTCTCTTTCCCTTTCAACTTTACCTACTATGGTACCGTAATGAATATGATCTCCACCAGACATACGTAACACTTTAGCTACTACACGGAAGTGTATACCATGATTCTTTTGTCTATCAATAACTGCATGCGTTGCGCGGTGGATGTGAAGATGTAGACCATTATTTCGGCAATAATGAGGCAAGCTAGTATTTGCACTGAACTCCCCTATTAGGTAGTCATGAATTATGATAGGAACTCCCAATTCTCTAGAAAATATAGCCATTTTCATCATTTCTTCGCATGTACCCGCAGTAGCATTCAAGTAATGCCCTTTGATTTCACCTGTTTCAGCTTGTGATTTAAAAATAACTTCGACACAAATTTAAGAAACGATCTCTCCAATGCATAAATGGTTAGGAGTTTACTTTCTCATCATCTTTAGTAAAATCAAGGCCACAATGAAGACATTCATATACAGCTCTACCGTAGTTTTTAGCGAATAACCCCAATTCTAGTTTAATAGTACATCCCAACAGGGGGCGACCATACTTGTTCAATTTATCTCTCTCAACTTGGATGTCGTGAGGAGGACCTTGGAAAGTTTTAACATACAGACTAGGGATTCGTAAATCTTCCATACGTAGAGCACGTAGGGATTTGAACCCAAATACATTACCTACAATGGAAGTAAACATGTTAGTAACAGAACCTTGTTCAAAAAGGTCTAATGGGTAAGCTACATAAGCAGTATATTGATTTTCTTCTCCAGGTGCATGCTCGATTCCATAGCATCGCCCTTTGTAATGATCAAGGCTCATAAGTCCATTGGTCTACACAGTTGTCCATTTACCAGTTGATGATTCGGTAGCTACTGCGGCCCCTACATCTTCAGGCGGAACTCCAGGTTGAGGAGTTACTCGAAATGCTACCAAAATATCAGTATCCTTGGTTTCATACTTTGGAGTATAATAAGTCAATTTATAATCTTTAACACCAGCTTTGAATCCAACACTTGCTTTAGTCTTTGTTTGTGGTGACATAAATCCCTCCCTATAACTCATGAATTAAGAATCCTCACAATAACAGGTTTACTCGACATGAATTAGGCATTAATGAAACTTTTTACAGGAACCTTTCACAAAATTCCCAAATAATAGTAGAGTTATCAACTAATCAGAATGCTTGATTATTAGACCATGGTATTTGATTCGGCAAATACATCATTATTGTATACTCTTTCATATATATGGCGCAACCCAATTCTTATTTATTTGTTTTTTGAATGGAAATAACTAAAAATCACCCAAATACTAAGAAATTCCCTCTTGACAGTGATACATGTTGTAAGTGATGGTTTATATGTAAATCCTTGAAGTGAAATTTGTGGAATTTTTCTATGAGAAGGTAAGAAAAAAAAAAAGAACAACATGCTATACCTAAATGAATAGAAATAAGAAGAGCTGATTATATAGAAATACTGAATCGTAAATAGAGTTCAGGTTCGAATTCCATAGATAATATAGATGGGATTGTCTATAATGATTGACAAATGAAGGATTTTCTCAATATTCTTATTCATCTACTTTTATTTTGAAAATATGTTGGTTGAACTTGAAAATTAACTCATTGAAATTGAATAAGTAAAAAAGTAAATTGGATTCGGTTGGATGGTAATAACAAAAAATCGTTTGCTAACTCTCATTTCTTTTGAATTAACCGATCAATTTGATATCAGAGATTTATTTTAAATGTGATCCTGTAAGCAAAAAAATTTCCATATTTTTTTACTTTATTGTTATATTATGAGTACGAGAATGAATCCTACTACTTCTGGTTCTGGGGTTACCACGCTTGACAAAAGTACACTGGGGCGTATCGCCCAAATCATTGGTTCGATACTAGATGTAGCCTTGCAGCCAAGCAAAATGCCTAATATTTATAACGCTCTGGTAGTAAAGGGTCGACATACTGCTGGTCAACCATTTAATGTGACTTGTGAGGTACAACAATTATTAGGAAACAATGAGGCTGTAGCTATGTGTGCTACAGATGGTCTAACGATAGGGATGAATGTAATTGATACAGGAGCTCCACTAAGTGTTCCGGTTGGTGGAGCGACTCTTGGATGAATTTTCAACGTGCTTGGCGAGCGTGTTGATAATTTAGGTCCTATACATACTAGTACAACATTTCCTATTCATAGATCTGTGCTTGCTTTTATATAGTTAGATACAAAATTTGTCTATTTTTGAAACCGAAATTAAAGTAGTAGATATTTTAGCCCCTCATTGTCGTGGAGGAAAAATTGGACTATTCGGAGGGAACTTGCTCCAAAGATTAACGGTTACAGTAGTATGGGTAGGCTAAATATCTAAACTCAAGTATTGAGTAATGTAGCATCTCACTAAAAAGCCCTTAACTAAAATAACTTTGTGAATAACTCTCAACCCTAACTTACTTGTGGGTAAGTTACTAGGCATAATGAATATCATTGTATAAGGTTTATAAAAGCCAAGTATGTTTGACATATATGTAAAAGTGTAATGTACTAGCTTTTAGAAAAATGAATGCTTCAGATTAATGAACATATGTACATGTATAAACATAGTACACTTAAACATATAAATAAACATTGTTAATAATAGCTTGAATCCTTGAAATACTATAGAGTTTCATAACGTACTTGTTATAATATGTAATGTTACATAAAAAAATCATAAAATTTTGTATCGTGTAGTATTTGTCGTGTGAAATGATTACTTCACGATAAAATAACCATAATACATATATGGAAATTTTATACTAGTTTATTTGTAACAATATGGTATATTGTTAAATATAATATTTTTATAAACTAAGTTTATTGTATTTTCGCATAAAAAGGTAATTGGTTTGTATAAACAAAATATATTGACATAAGTATTCCCCTCCAAAATAATTAATATATTAAAAAGGAGCCGTAAACACTCGCCCTTAAAACGTGAACGAAGCTCGTGGTATGAAACTTGCCGTGAAAGTTGTTACATGACGTTCATTGCTCTTAAAGCGAACCACCGAGTATAATTATATTTCCTAATAAACCATAGAGTAGTTTCCGTATTAATTATTAAGTATATGGTGGTCTTTCTTAAATTAAATAATCTCGAGGGTTTGATTTTACAAAAATTATACTTCAGGGACTGATGTTGCGAATTATTCTCATCACATGGGTTAATCATGTGCAATTGAAACTATTTTAGGGTTTTAGGACTAAATTTATTAGGTTTTTCTAGGGAAGGGACAAATTATGTTTAATTTTATTGAAAGTTTGATTTTTTATTTGACCGTTGACCGGGTCAAATCAAAACTCATTCTCTTTTCAAAACCCATGACTGATCCAACAAGTGGATCCATTTAAAAAATAAGATTATGTCTTTTACCCGGTGTTCATTCGTGGCTCGTTCAAGGAAAAGAAATAGCGGTACACCGAGCCTTCGATACCAGTTCGAAATCGGAGGAAAAAAAACGAGGGCAAGTGCAATTGGTGGGGTTTTCCACACTCGAAAGATCCATACATGAGGAGAGCTCGATTTATGTCGATCAATCGTGGAAAGGAGGCGCCTTTGGGGGTCGACTAGACCGAAGAGGATGAAGAGGGAAGAACACCGAGGTTGTTCATGGTCTCGGTGGGTTTGCTCGACCGAGGGGAAGAGAGTGGTGCGACCGGGGTTGAGGTTTGCTTGAATCTCACAGCTCGTATTCTTCTTCTCTCTTTATTTTTTTCTGATCGATAGTGAAGTGGGTATCCCCGGGGTTTGACGAGGCCGAAGGGGGGATGGAAAGGAAAGGCAGCGAAGTTGCTGGGGTCTCGGTCGGCTGCTAGGTGCGGAGGAGAAGGAGGACATTTGTCCCGATGGAGCGAGGCAAGCGGGAACAGCAGCTCCATTGGGGGTTTTGGTAGTGGTGCTTGATAGAAGAAGATGAGGTTGCTCAGGTAACTTCTATGCTTCTCCCCTTTTTTTTGTGTTTATTTGTTTGATTTCAACAGAAATCGAAGTAGTATAAGAGGAACAACACAAATTCTATTGTTTTTATTTTGACAGAAAATCTGTAGGTTTAAGTGGGTGCTTGGTTTTGGTTCTTGACCGGAAAGAAGGAAGAACGGAAGAGGAATCAAGGATGGCAGCAACTCCGATTACTGATATGTTTTTTCAATCAGCAAGGTATTCGTGGGGCAGGAGGATCGTGAGGGATAGAGATTTAATGGGTTCGTTTTCGTTGTTGTTCTTAATTGGGTCATCGTGTCGTGTTTTTGTCTGACACGATACGATACGACAAAGTTTTATGTGAAGTTTTATGTGACACGAACATGAGATGACACAATCTCGTGTTTTTTTAACTAACACGAAAACGAACCGATTAGAAAACAACGGATACGATACGACACGACAAATATAACATAGTAAAAAAATTAGTTTATTTAATCAAGCATAACACGAAAAACGCGACAAACACGAAAAATACGACAAATAAATGTTAATCGTGTCAATTTCGTGTCGAATTTTAAACACGAACACCACACGATGTTGTGCTTTTACACTGCACACGAACATGACACAAACACGAATTCGAATTTTAGTTTCGTCCCTATGTGCAAGAATTTGTTCAAGTGTGATGTGTTTCACTCAAAGTTTTCATTCAAGTAAGTGTACAACACGTTTTCTATAGAGTGTTGTTTTGATTGAGTGTTAGTTTGGGTGTAGTTTTGGTCATTTGGATGTGGGGAAATCTAATATCAGTCTTTATTTATTTATTTATTTATTTATTTATTTATTTGTGTTTATTTATTTAAAAATTTATTTATTTATTTGTATTTATCTATTTATACTATTTATTTATTTGTTTGTATTTGGTACATTAAATAGATGTATTTGTGTATGAGTTTATATAATGTATTTGGTTTTTGGAAATTATACACAATACATAATCTTATGTGTACATGTATTTAAGTTTTCATATATAAATACAATTATATATTATTCATTTCAAATAAGTATATATGTAGTGGTATTACCATATTGTAATTGTATACATATATACATTGTGGTTATTTGATGTTTCTTTACCATACATGATGTATATTTTATAAAAACCATAACCAGTTACATCTTGATTTGTTATAAAAATATGTTTCCTTACATATGAATATATTCATGAATTTTACAAATATTGTGCCATTTTAACCATCAAAATTTTCATCAATCAGATTGGATTTATATATTATTATGTTAAGCTTTAAAAACTGATCTCATTTTACGTGTCCAATTCTCGATGTCGGTAAACTATTTTGATAGTGGCAATTGATAGATTTTAATTGTAGGATTCTAAAAACCCGAAAGGATAAAATTTTCAACTAGTAGAACTCCGGATATTTGCGTTTCAAGTTTCGCGATTAATTCTGAAAAAGTCTGGTTTTTCAGCTTTTATAAATATTTTTATAAAATATATTCCAAATATGGAATTAAATATTAGGCTATAGCCTGGGTCCAAAAAGCTTTCAGAATTTCCATTTGAGGTGTGCAAATCCCTTAACGGATAGAAACGATTTTAGTGGTTTTAAAAAACTCAGTATTATACTCGTTTCGGATTCTCAAAACGGTCGTATATTGTGCATACGAACTCAGTTTTGGATGTTGTTTATATTTTTGGAAACAGGGAAACACCCACTACGAGGCTATAGTGTTTGTATTGCTCAAAACTGTTTAATACAAATTTTTAGTTTTTCTGATGTATCTCTATGGTTGCTGATTAAGTTGTTTGACTGGTTTGTTAATTTACACATTTTGAAGTAAGATGTCATCCGGTATCTTATAATAGTCGAAATAACTCATTTATTTTATTTTAGATGCACTAAAACACAACGAGTCAAATTTCCAAAAGACTTAATGTGAACTTGACCGTTCACAGTTTTTGACCTAAATTACGGGATGTCACATTACCTCCCCATTAAGTGAATTTTGTCCCGAAATGACTTTATTCTAGAATATTTTGTTACAATATCATTTTGTTTTAGTATCATTTCGTTCGAGTATCCTTTTGTTCCACTTGTGGATGGAGCACCGCTGATAAATTGTTGATACTTTTGTTTTGTTTGATCCTTACATTTCCATGTAAACTTCGGCTATCTACAAGAGTTCTATCGGACCTTTACTATAGGTATCAGGCTTTGTTTAAGGCTTTTGATCTCTTGATCAATGATCTCTACCAGTTTCTTTACGATTTTAAGTTTAGTGCTGATCTGGATCTCATCAAGAGGAATAACAAGGTTCTTATTAGAGAGATAGTTTTTAAGGTTTAACACGTAAAAGGTATCGTGAACATTAATTAGTTCTTGAGTTTGTAAGCCACTGGACCATTCCACACTATGATTTCAATAGGTCCGATATAATGGGGATTTAATTTATCCCGTTTTCCAAATCGAATGGCACCTCCCCATACTGCGACCACTAGTAGGACACAGTCTCTTAATTTGAATTCTAAGGGTTTGTGTCTTAAGTCAGCGTAGCTTTTCTGACGACCACGTGTGGCATTTAATCCTTCCTTTATTTGAACGATCCTCATCATTGTTTCATGAATGTTCTCAGGGCTATTGAGTGGAGTATCTACAACATGCTTATTAGCCAGTTGGGTATCCCTAACTTCTGTCCAGCATATCCGAGAACGAAATCTACATCCGTACATTGCCTCAAATGGAGTGACCTTTATGCTAGTATAATAACTATGGTTATATGAAAACTCAACTAGTGGTGAGTGAGTAACATTAAGAAGTTAGTGTCAATGAAAGAACTAACACTATTTGGTATGAAGTCCCTTGATTGTCATGCTTTAATTACACATATGATTCCCATTGCAATTCGTGGAATACTACTGGACCATATTCGACACACAATCATAAAGCTATGCTTCTTTTTCAACTTGATTCATTATAAAGTTATTGATCTGGAAGTGTTAGATTCATGGGAATGTGATATTATCTTGACGTTATGCCAGCTCGAGATCCATTTCCCACTTTCATTTTTTGATGTCATGGTTCATCTAACATCTCATATTGTTAGTGAGATAAAGTATTATGGGCCAGTATTCTTACGATGCTTGTATCCATTTGAGAAATACATGGGAATCTTAAAAGGGTATGTAAGGAATAAACATCGACAGAGAGTAGTATTTTTGAAGCATACAAATAGAGGAGGTAATTGAATATTGTACCGACTATCTACATGGTGTTGATAGTATTAGCATACCAAAGTCTTGACACGAGGGTAAACTTGTAGGGAGTGGGAAAATTGGATTGAAAAAGATCATTCCAAATCGAGAAGACTTCCAAATTGCACAGTTTATAGTCCTACAACATATAACAATTATTGCTCATATATAAATGAGCACAAAAGAACAATGGAAATGTCAAATCATGGTAGGATCAATAGATGGTTGGTTAAGGAACATAACAAAACATTATCACAATGGTTAAAAGACAAAGTGAGAGCAAGTTATGGCATCAATAACATGGTTCAAGCTATAGTAGATCTAGGGAATGGTCATGAAGATCTCATGGTAACATACCAAGGATACGACATTAATGGTTATACATTTTACACTAATCAAAAGATGGAAAAAGTACACTTCAAAGTAGTGGTGTAACAGTAATAGCCTCAACTGAAGTATATGGAGAAATCCATAATACAAGGGCGAGGATCGCCAAAGAATCATATTATGGCATCATTCAGGAAATATAGGAATTGAAATATGATTCCATCATTATACCTATGTTAAAGTGTAAATGGGTTGACAACCAACGAGGTGTTAAAGTTGACAATGATAGTTTTATAATTGTTGACCTTCCCACAAACGGTTATGTAGTAGAACCATTCATTCTAGCTAAACAAGCTACCCATGTATTCTATGTTGAGGACCCAAAGGAATCGGGAAAGCACATCCTCATGCATAGCAAACGAAATATAATTGGTGTTGATGATGTTGTGGACGAGGAAGACTACGATCAGTTTGATGAACTACCCCATTTTCTATCGGAATTCCATATTTAAATGATGATGTTGATGACACCACTTACTTACGGTCAAATTACAATGAAGGATTATGGATATCCTAACCTATTGATAAGCCTGGATAGTTTTGTCGGATCAATCAAAGGCAGAAGTAAGTCAGCTTCAAGGCTAAGTTATAAAATAGGAAAGTCATTTTGATTATTTTATATAAACAACGATTGTCATTTGGTTGTTCAGTTATATGTTTATACTAGGATACTTATTCATAATTTAGAGGATCTTGTTTAGGGTTAGCAAGTCACTATAAAACATGGTGCACCATTGATTCTTATTTTTATATAATTAATAAAGCTAGTGAAAGGCAATTTTAGAGATTACTTGTTCTCGAATTAAAGTCTATTGGTTCTAACCCTAGAGACTGAATCTTGTACCTATTGCCCATATACTTTGGAAAATAAAACAAGTTATTTACTAAGAAACATGAATATGATTGTAAAATTGCACTAATCTAGTATAACTTAATTATATTTTGAAAACTCACTGCATTATCCGACCCTGTTCGTTTTTTTAGTTAAAAAGCCATCCCTAATTTGAATTATTATGATCATCAAAAATGAAATTCGTCAACCTTTTGGGTATCCTAAGTCTGGCAAGATTCGATAACTAAATTCAACATGTCATAAGTTATAAAATTATAGTATAGTTAAAACATCTTATTAATAATGCATCTTTGAGAAAATATTTATAAGATTGAAATTAAATATGTTGTCGATATCTTTTTTTCTTATCTCTTAATAAATAAATATTATATATTTATGTTAGAGTTCCCTTTTAAATTCATATTATACTAATAATTAGAGTTAGAAACAAAATAATACATAATAAATAGAAACAAAAAAAAAAGGCATGGGCTCTAAATTGGTAAGGTATCAGTCACCCCTTTAACATAAAACATATTTTTATGCCAAAAATATACAAAATTAAAGTGGTTTTGGTTGAAAGTTTTTGAGTTAACCCGCGTGAAAATTCGATATACCGCCACAAATTTTGAGGTAGAATCAGACCCGATACCACGTTGTCACTCCTTACCCTCCTCTTCTTCTCCACTGCAACAACCACCAACTTTTGCCACCGCACCGTCATCTCAAACCTTTATTTTAAACCTGCCAACCTGTGAACTATATAGTAAACTGGGTCATGTTTGGGTTGATATATTTTGATCCGCCAACCCGAACACAACACGATTGTTAGGCCTACTTTTAATGTTGCTTCAAAAAAGAAATCTTAATATTTTCAACATTCTTTTTATACAAAAAAAATTATAAACTGAAATTTGATTTCGTTTACGGATAATCGAGCTGAATTTCATATTTATTTTATATTAGGAATAAACATTTTGATCCATAAAACCGACCTTATACCGTACTGACGTCAGATCAATCCAAGTGTTTTACTCAATGGAACGGTTCCGGTTCTTTGTTCTCATTCGACCGATTCCCAATCTTGTTCGAGACATGTACGTATAAAAGACGGGTTTTCAAAAAAAAATATTACTTGTTTTTTTGCCAAATCAATAAATTATTTTTATAGTGATATATATTAGAAGTTCAATAAGCAAAAGGTATCAATTGAAACTTATATACAAATATAAAGGACAAGCTGGAAAATTTTAAGTTACTTAAGGTAATGAAATATATAATGTACAAAAATAAAATCAGCCATTTACTTTTTAAATTTGGCCTGACATAAGTTTTGGTAAAGTTTTTGATATCCTGCCATGGAAATTGTATAACCTGCCACAAATTTTGGTTAAAGCAAAACCCCAAACACGTTTTCACTCCTTACACCTCCTATTCTTCTTCACCGTATCAACCAACCGACGATTTGACTAGCTACCACTTGCCTTAACAAACGATTCCTCCTCATAATCTTGACTACAATTTTGCTGTCTAAAACCATTATCTTTTCCTCGATTTTCCCTGTCCCCTACCTCGTATCAGGAGTTCAACAAGTCATTGCTAGGGTAGCATTACTCGTATACATGACTCTACATCTCTATTGGTCCTCTTTTTGCCACTTCTAAACATCTTCTACTCTTGCAATTTGTATCTATGATATGTTGATATTTTATTTATAGTAAAGTTTTACTTAGGTTTTCTAAATTTGTGGATTTATATATACATGAATCATGTACTAGTGTTGATTTAAATGAGAATATATGAGAACATAACAGGAAAATATGTTAGTTAGTTAGGTTTATATGTAGATACTAATGTTGATTTAAGCGAGGATTATTTAGGTTTTGTAAATTTGTGGATTTATATGGATGTATGTATGTATACATTCATAAAAATACTTCAATTAGTTGCTCTTATCTGATGTTGTTTGACATTTTTGCAAAAAAATGACAATGATTATAGTGGCTGAACCCTTTAGGGGTCAGGGGAGACCATGCCCCCCTCCTCCCCTTGTTTTTCACCAGATATGTTTTTTTAATCATTGGTTTTTTTTTATTCTTTTTTCCCCATCGATTCCATATCATTCTCTTTGTATCTCTTCATATTTGTTCTTGTTTTTGCTCTTTATCCATGGCGCCTAGCATTCCAATACACTGATACATCCTTGAAAATACTAATTTCTTATTTTTTGGTTATCTGGTTTGTGAGTTTCTTTTTTAATCTATTCAACTTTGAAAGTAAGTTTTGATGATGAACATGTGAAGTTTTATATTTTGATATGTAAGTTCTTTTACCTTTTCTTTTTGTAATTCATGTAATGATCATTTACATCAGTTTTTATGCTATGGGTCTAACTACAAATTGTAGTCTTGAAATTTTGCATGTTAAGTACTAGTGTAAAGTACTCGGTGAGGATTTGAAACTAATAAAAAGAGGACACTCTCATTTTTTTCTGAATTATCACTAGTCGAGTATGTTTACCCTTCTTAAGCTTTTAAATATCATATTTACCCAGCTTAAAATCTAAATATCATATTTACCTTCTTAAGCTTTTAAATATCATATTTGCTGAAATATATATTTTTTTAGTATTTTCTAATATTTTATAATCAGTTTTCTTTTTTGTAATCAGTAATATTAAAAAGATAAAAGTAAATGGACCATATTGCCCTTATCTTCTCAAGTGCAAGAACTAAATTAACCTTATGCTCTTACTTGCTGCAATGAACTTTTTTTTGGCCTTATTGGCATTTTTTTGTTTTAAATCAGCCATTATTTCTATTTAAAATATATGCATATTGGATTCGGCTAAATCCTTTTAGTAAAAGCTTGGGCCAAGTTTAATTGAAATTCAATTAAGAGAACGAACGTTATTGATCCAAAGAATCCATTGCCTCAAACTCAAATTTAATCTCCTTCCATACTTCACAAGCAACAACTAGTTCAAGACTCCATTTGGTAGCCTCACGGATAATTTCATTACCCTCGGTAGCAAGATCGTGTCCCTCATTACGACCTTGTACACATGCTTCTAGAGCTACTCGATTAGCTATGGCACCGGGTGCATTTCCCCAAGGGTGCTCTAAAGTTTCTCCACCGAAATCTAATACAGAATCATCTCCAAAGATCTCGGTCAGTTGAGGAATATACCAAACATGAATATCGCCCATAGCTACCGGCAGAACACCTGGTAGAGATACCCAATCTTGGGTGAAATAAATCCCGCGAATTCTCTTTTTTAATAAAATCATCACCTAGTAAATCAATAAAGCCCAAAGTGATTTCTCTTTCCCCTTCAAGTTTACCTACTACGGTACCGGAATGAATATGATCTCCACCAGACATACGTAATGCTTTAGCTACTACACAGAAGTGTATACCATGATTCTTCTGTTTGTCAATAATTGCATGTGTTTCACGGTGGTTGTGAAGAAGTAGACCAGTATCTCGGCAATAATGAGGCAAGCTAGTATTTGCAGTGAATCCCCCTATTAGGTAGTCATGCATTATTATAGGAACTCCCAATTCTCTGTAAAATATAGCAATTTTTATCATTTCTTTGCATGTACCCGCAATAGCATTCAAGTAATGCCATTTGATTTCACCCATTTTAGCTTGTGATTTAAAAATAGCTTCGATAGAAAATAAGAAACGGTCTCTCCAATGCATAAATGGTTGGGAGTTTACATTATCATCATCTTTAGTAAAATCAAGGCCACCACGAAGACATTCATAAACAACTTTACCGTAGTTTTTAGCGAATAACCCCAATTCTGGTTTAATAGTACATCCCAATAGGGGATGACCATACTTGTTCAATTTATATCTCTCAACTTGGATGCCGTGAGGAGGACCTTGGAATGTTTTAAAATACACTAGGGATTCGTAAATCTTCCAGACATAGAGCACGTAGGGATTTAAACCCAAATACATTACCTACAATGGAAGTAAACATGTTAGTAACAGACCCTTCTTCAAAAAGGTCTAATGGGTAAGCTACATAAGCAGGATATTGATTTTCTTCTCCAGGAACGGGCTCGATTCTATAGCATCGCCCTTTGTAACTATCCAGGCTCATAAGTCCATCGGTTTACACAGTTGTCCATGTACCAGTAGAAGATTCGGCAGCTACTGCGGCCCCTACTTCTTCAGGAAGAACTCCAGGTTGAGGAGTTACTCGAAATGCTGCCAAAATATCAGTATCCTTGGTTTCATACTTAGGAGTATAATAAGTCAATTTATAATCTATAACACCATCTTTGAATCCAACACTTGCTTTAGTCTCTTTTTGTGGTGACATAAATCCCTCCCTACAATTCATGAATTAAGAATTCTCACAACAATAAGGTCTACTCGACATGAATTAGGCGTTAATGAAACTTTTTACAGGAACTTTTCACAAAGTTCCCAACTAATAGTAAACTTATCAACTAATCAGAATGCTTGATTATTAGACCATGGTATTTGATTCGACAAATAAGTCATTATTTTATACTCTTTCATATATATGGACCAACCCAATTCTTATTTATTTGTTTTTTGAATCGAAATAACTAAAAATCACAAAAATACTAAGAAATTCCCTCTTGACAGATATATATGCTCTAAGTGATGTTGTATATGTAAATCCTTGATGTGAAATATGTGGAATTTTCCTATGACAAGGTAAAAAAAAAAAAGAACAACCGGCTATACCTAAATGAATAGAAATAAGAAGAGCTGATTATATAGAAATATGGAATTATAAATAGAGTTCAGGTTCGAATTCCATAGATAATATAGATGGGATTGTCTATAATGATAGACAAATGAAAGATTTTCTCAACATTCTTATTCATCTACTTTTTATTTTGAAAATGGGTTGGTTGAACTTGAAAATTAACTCAATGAAATTGAATAAGTAAACAAGTAAGTTGGATTTGGTTGGATAGTACAAACAAAATCTTGTGCTAACTCTCATTTCTTTCGAATTAACTGATCAATCTGACATCAGAGATTTATTTTGAATGCGATCCTATTCGCAAAAAAATTCAAGATTTTTTACTTTATTGTTCTATTATGAGTATGAGAATGAATCCTAATACTTATGGTTCTGGGGTTACCATGCTTGACAAAAGGACACTCTGGCATATCGCCCAAATCATTGGTTTGGTACTAGATGTACCCTTGCCGCCAGGCAAAATGCCTAATATTTATAACGCTCTAGTAGTTAAGGGTCAAGATACTGCTGGTCAAGCAATTAATGTGACTTGTGAGGTACTAAAATTATTAGGAAACAATTGAGTTAGGGTTGTAACTATGAGTGTTACATAGGGGTGTTAACGGGGCGGTTCGGTTCGGATAGTAATAAAATTGTGAACCGTCATCACGGGGCGGGTACTTCATGTGCACTAACCGAAACCGAACCGAATTAGCAAAAAAACCGAACCGAACCGAACCGTATAAAGGCGGGTAACCACGGTTCGGTTCACGGGTACTCGCTAAATATAAAAATTTAAATACAATTAAAATTACAAACTTCATTCCAATGATTTCTTTCTAAATATTACTAAGTCCAAAGAATTATAAAAACATAATAAATGTCAAATAACATACAATATAATTGGTATAATAAATATAAAAATAAAAATAGAAGAAAACATAACGTAGAAGTGTAAAATTGGAATAGCCGATCATGATATTTGTTTGGGATATGGCTAAAAGTTCAATGAAAATGAATAATATTATATATATATATATATATATATATATATATATATATATATATATATATATATATATATATATATATATATATATCAAGCGGTTCGGTTCGGTTATCCGCGGATACCTAAGTATCAAAACCAAAACCGACCCGTTGATATCCGGTTTTTTCGGTTTCGGTTTTTTTATGTTTCGGTTTTTTTCGGTTTCGGATCGGCCGGTTCGGCTCGGTTTTACGGTTTTGCGGTTTTTTTTGCACACCCCTAGTGTTACATATGGTCTAACGAGAGGGATGTACGTAATTGATACGGGAGCTCCACTAAGTGTTCCGGTTGGTGGAGTGACTCTCGGACGAATTTTCAACGTGCTTGGCGAGCCTGTTGATAATTTAGGTCCTATAGATACTAGTACAATATTTCCTATTCAAAGATTTGCGCTTGCCTTTATATAGTTAGATACAAAAATTGTCTATTTTTGAAACCGGAATTAAAGTAGTAGATCTTTTAGCCCCTTATTGTCATGGAGGAAAAACCGGACTATTCGGGGGAGCTAGCATGGGTAAAACAATACTCATTATGTAATTGATTAACAATATTGCCAAGGCTCATGGAGGCGTATCTATATTTGGTGGATTCGGTGAACGGACTCGTGAAGGAAATGATCTTTACATGGAAATGAAAGAATTTGGAGTAATTAATGAAAAAATATTCCAGAATCAAAAGTAGCTCTAGTTTACGGTCAGATGAACCATCGGGAGCTCGTATGAGAGTTGGTTTGAGTGCACTAACTATGGTGGAATATTTCCGAGATGTTAATGAACAAGATGTACTTTTATTTATTGACAATATCTTCCATTTTATCCAAGCAGGATCTGAAGTATCCGCCTTATTGGGTAGAATGCCTTCTGGTGTGGGTTATCAACCTACCATTAGTACCAAAATGGGTTCTTTACAAGAAAGAATTACTTCTACCAAATAAGGGTCCATAACTTCTATTCAAGTTGTTTATGTACCTGCAAATGATTTGACTGACCTTGCTCCTGCTACAACATTTTCACATTTAGATGCTACTACTATACTATCATCGGGGTTAGTCGCCAAAGGTATCTATCCAACAGTAGATCCTTTAGATTCAATGTCAACTATGCTACAACCGTGGATTGTTGGCGAAGAACACTATGACACTGCACAAGAGGTTAAGAAAACCTTACAACGTTACAAAGAACTTTAAGATATTATAGCAATTCTTGGATCAGACAAATTATCCGAAGACGATCGTTTAACCATAGCAAGAGTGCGAAAAATTGAGCATTTCTTATCACAACCTATTTTTGTAGAAGAAGTATTTATAGGTTCTCCGGGAAAATATATTGGTTTAGCATAAGAATTAGAGGCTTTCAATTAATCCTTTCCGGAGAATTAGATGGTCTTCATGAACATGCCTTTTATTTGGTAGGTAACATCGATGTAGCTATGGGGAAGTCTATGAACTTAGAAATGGAGAGCAATTTGAATAAATGACCTTAAATCTTTGTGTACTGACACCTAATTGAATAGTTTGGGATTCAGAAGTGGAAGAAATCATTTTATCTACTAATAGTGGATAAATTGGCATATTACCAAATCACGCTCATTTTGCCACATCAGTAGATATAGGTATTTTGAGAATACGCCTTAACGACTAATGGCTAAAGATGAATCTGATGGGCGGTTTTGCTAGAATAGGTAATAATGAGATCATTGTTTTAGTAAATGATGCATAGAAAAGTGGTGGCATTGATCCACAAGAAGCTCATCGAACTCTTGAAATAGCGGAAGCTGCTTTGAGAAAAGCTGAAGGAAAGAGAACCTTTGGTTTCTCAGTTAAATTCGAACAAGATACGGGCGTCATATGACTTTGGCATAGTAGATTAGGACATGTCTCTTTCTCTATTAATTCATTATTACGTAAACATGGTCACTTATTCGTTACTTCTCTTTTACCCAAACGTGCCATTTACTCATGTTGTGAACTTTCTAAAAGTCACAAGCTTCCATTTTTATATTAATGAAAAACGTTCAATGCATGTGTTGGATATGATTCATTGTGATCTATGGGGACCTGCACCTATCCCATCTACTGATGGATATATGTATTATGCTGTTTTTGTGGACCAGGTATACCAGGTTTACTTGGTTCTGCCCATTAAAGCACAAATCAGACTTCAAAATTGTACTAAAAAGTATTTTGACCTTTGTTCAAACCCAATTCTCTCACAAGGTCAAGGTTTTCCAAAGTGATGGCGACACTGAATTCATCAACCATCAATTTAAAGCAATGTTTTCTGACAATGGTGCTTATCATAAAATCTCCTATTCATATACACCTGGACAAAATGGTCCGCTGAACGAAAACACGGCCACATCACTGAAACTGGTATTGCCATGTTATTTAATGCTAGTGCTCCTGCATCTCTATGGGTCGATGCCTTTACTTCAGCCATCTATATCATTAATAGACTACCATCCTAGGTGTTAAATAACAAATCACCTTTCGAGCTTCTTTTTAACACTCAACCAAATTTCCATGTCTTCCGCGTCTTTGGTTGTTGGGTATTCCCATATCTTCGCAAATACTCAGACCACAAGCTTACTCATACAAGTATTCCATGTGTCTTCATTGGATATAGTACATACCGGTTTCTTGACATGTCCAACTCCAAATTTTATACAACCCACCACGCAAAATTCGATGAAACAAATTTTACATTCACTTGCAATACTTCCGTAATTGCAGATGCTTATTAACTACTTGTAACTTTTGAAGAAGCATGCGCAATACCTGGAATTTTCTCACAGCCTCCTAATGACTCGATTACCGGCCTGCTGTCGCAACAAACACTAGTCCAAGTCCATGTCGCTTATGTACGGACCTGGCCCAACCCATTTCTCAGCAACCAATACTTCAATTGGATTCCAACGGACCCGACCCAACTCATTCAACAACTTCACCTCAGCACCCAGATCCGCCCACTCCATCCATTGTTCCTCAATCAGATCATCTGATTCTCACTCGAGGCAAGGCTAGGATTTCAAAGCCTCGTATATTTTGTGGTTTTACAACCCTTTTATCCACAAACTTGCATACAACTCTTTTTGCTCAAAAAGATCCAAAAGGTTTCAAATATGCTTCGAAACAATCTATGTGGCTCTAAGCTATGCATAATGAAATATGGGCCCCCAAACACAATGATACTTAAGATGTCATTCCACACCAAATGCTTTCAACATTGTTGGCTCTAAGTGGGTCTTCCACACCAAATATAGATCGGATGGTTCTATCGATCGTTACAAAGCCTGCTTAGTTGCTCAAGGTTTCAATCAAATTCTAGGTCTCGACTTTTGTCACACCTTTAGCCTTGTGGTTAAAGCTTCAATGGTGTGTATTATTCTATCACTTGTTGTTTATCAAAATCGGCCCTTACATCAACTTGATGTTAATAATGCATTTCTCAATGGACATCTAGGTTAAACTGTTTTCATGGAGCAACCACTGGGGTTCATTGATTCCTAGTTCCCGGATCATGTATGTCGTCTTAAGAAGGCTCTTTATGGCTTAAAACAAGCCCCACACACATGGTTTCAGCGCTTGAGTTTATTTCTCATTCAAGTGGGTTTTACGTGTAGACTTACAGATCCTTCGTTATTCATGTTTAAACACTGTCCCTCCATTCTTTTTCTCTTTGTTTATGTTGATGACATAATTCTCACTGGGAATAACCAACACTCAATAGCAACCTTCATCCAATGCCTCCATCACGAGTTTGCTATTAAAAACTTTGATAAGCTGAGTTATTTCTTGGGTCTTGAGGTTCTATACACTCTCACTCAAACTAAATATGCTTGGGATATTCTATCAAGAGCTAGTTTATTGGACGACAAACCAATACATACTCCACTTGCTACTTTTGAACTGCTTACTACTCCCAGTGAACCATTTCATGATGAAACTCTCTATCGGTCATTGGTTGGTTCCTTACAATATGTTACAATCAAGAGACCTGATCTCTTTTATGTTGTAAATCAGGTTAGCCAATTTCTTCATGCACCCACTACTGCTCACTTTCAAGTAGTCAAGCGAATTCTTTGCTCTATCAAGGGAACTATTTCCTTTGGTCTAACTACACACGGTCTCCTAATATTCCCCTTGTTGCCTACTCCGATGCCGACTGGGCACGTTGTGTTGAGACACGTCACTCCATGTATGGATACTCCATCTTTCTTAGCGGTAACATTGTCTCATGGAGTACCAAAAAGCAACCTATCGTGTCACGCTCTTGCTGTGAATCTGAGTATAGGGCAATGGCTAATGCAATGTCTGAAATGATTTGGATCACTTATATCCTACGCGAGCTTATTCCCATCTCTCCAACACCATATTTATACTCTGATAACAAAAGTGCTATATTTCTAAGTCAGAACCCGGTTGCTCATAAACGTGCCAAACATATCGACATAGATTATCATTTTGTTAGAGAGTTGGTTACTTCTGGTAAGTTACTCAAGTGGTTCATTTCTACGACTCAAATGATGGCCGATATGTTTACTAAGAGTCTTCCTCGTCAGTTGCTTGAACGATTTCGATCCAAGCTGTGTGTTGGACCTCCACCTTCCAGCTTGACGGGAGGTATTAATGATAAGACTACCATCTCAAAACCAAGATTATCTAGTCCTACTTGATAGGCTATTTGTTATATTTAAATTATGTTATCTTGTATTTTCTAATCCATATATATAGTGAAATATGCGATACTCCATATCATTGGAGATTCCGATATCGTTGTTTTTAGTATGGAAGCTCACTGAGGTAATTTATCTTATTACTTATCCACTAGTTAGATGTAGTTTCATTTGTGATTTATGTTTACCTTCTATCACAATTTTAGTGCAACCAAGTCGGTGTATTGGAACATAAGTTGCGTAGGCATTATGTAATGAATTGGATCTTTGATTTTGTGTTGATCACATAACAAAGATTTCCGAGTAGAGTAACTGCTTCTTAAAAACAAAATTCTTTTCTTTAAAGCAAGAAACAAATTGTTTCATTATTTAGTAGTTTTAATTTTATTTTCATATAGTTGGTAACCTTTGGGATCACAAAACTACTTTTGAGGAAAAGGCATTGGTTACAATTGTTGCTAAGTTTTATGAAAGATGTGGTTGTTAATAGTGCATATAAGGTTAGTTGTTAATTTTATAACATCCTACTTTTAGTTTAATGATTGTTTGCTAAATTCAACTCTTTTAAAATGCTAGACAAAAAACTAATTATTTGTTGTGTTTTGTTTTTCGGTGAGGATGAAGGATAGTTGTGTTTTGTTTTTAAGTGAGGTTGGAGGATAGTTGCAACACTTGATTATTGGACAATACCTCTGCATGGGAAAATAAGTTTTATGTAGTATGAAATGATCAAATCAATGTGTTTTTAGCAGCACTAAAGCATGTTTTTATCGATGACTATAATGATTTGTTATTTAGCATGTTTATATTAATATAATTTGTTCATCAATGCATAATTTTTGTTTTGTTTTGAATGTATGCTTTCGATGCAAGTATCACTTTGTGGTTTTTATTCAACTGTTTTCTTTATATTATGGTATTTGAATAAAGTTATTACCAATTTAATTCTCATAACCATGCTGTCCGGTATAGTGATTATAGTTGGTTTTAGTAAGGCTGAAAAAGACCCGATTATTTGAATGAAACCTATCCATATTTAATCTTTATATGACCCAGTTTGGGGATTGGAACCGGGCTCTTTTAGCAACATATGACCCGGTTTTGTATGGTTGGACTGTGTCCTAATCTTTACTTATGATCAAATATTGTGTGTTATGATCCTCTTACATATCTCGGTTTTCTGAACAATCGTTTTCTTTTATGTCAGATAGGAGCCGGTTTTAAAACTGGGTTCTATTCCTTTTTTCACATAGGATTCGCTCGCTTTAAGGCCCGGTTCAAAAGGGTGTTATTTAATCGATTTAACCCGGTCCTATAAGCTTTTTTGTAGTAGTTAGTCAGTCCACTTGTAGTCTGAACTTATATGGCTGTCCACAAACCCAAAAAAAAAAAAAAAAAATACAATAATCATGTATTCTTTTCCTCCAAGCTTTCTTGCTTGAGCTGCACGATCAACCACTTGCAAATTGTTGAACCTTTAGAGGTAAAAAAACGTGTAGTATAAGTTGCTCAAGTACCTCTGGACGAATACTGGAGACCAGTAAACGTTTCCCAAAATCAAATTAATAAGCTTTTTTTTTTTTTTTTTTTTTTTTTTTTTTTTTTGTTAATTCTATAAAAACAAGTTAGTTCTAGCATTAATCCATCCTATTCCAATACTAATATAAGTCCACATGCTCACCAATTAGATTAATTCCATATTCATCATTACGACCAGACACTGAAATTCCACAACTCAATTGAAGTTCTTGTGGCCCAAAGCATACTATTGCAAAATCTAATATTATATTTTTAAGCATCAACTTGTCAACTATGATCTTTATATAAATAAATAACACATTTAACATTTAAGAACATGCGAAAAAATCTAAAATTATAAATATGTGGATCCAATGATTAATAGTGATCTGTATATTTAATAACTACGTATTTTAACTTTTTTTATAAGAATAAAAATAGAACTAAAATCAGTAATTTTGAGCAGTTATATTACTTTGATCATAATATAAAAACTTAATGGAAATAGTTTTTTAACAATAAAATATAACTATTTATTTATTTAAAATAAAATGAATTAATACATTGAAGTTAATAAAAATATAAAATAAACATTGTAAAAATAAAAGACATAACTAAGAAGGTTTATATAAAACAATTTTTTTGTTTTTTTAAACAA